AGGCTCCGCCCGTAGCCCGGGTCGACCTTTGACGCCGCCTGTGCCTTCGCTTGCTGCTGCGACCAAAAAGCCCCACCGACCCATCTCGTCATCGTCGTCCTGCAATGGTTCCTGGCTTTGTCCATGGCGTGCTGTTCGTCACGACGGTCTTCCGCATCTGGGTCGTGAGCTTCTCGAATTACCTCCTGGTGCTGCACGACGCCCAGAAGTTCCTCCTGGTGCCGGCGCTCTTCTGAGCGGCAGTGAGGTTCGCCTGCTGTCCCTTTTGCTCGTTGTTTTTCTTTGCTCTTTGCCTTCCTCGTCTGTTGCGCTAATTTAGGTCGTCGCCTGTGTGTAATATCCTGGACGCCGCCCGACTCTGCCTCGCCGCGGTCGCGGTCAAAAAAGTACCCCCGCCAGCCCATCCAGAAACGATGCCCATGAGAGCTGACGGGGGAAGAGGAAGAGACACGCATACCAGGAGGGGAAAAAACACACAGACACAATTAATCGTCGATTCCCCAGGAAATATGGGGAAATATGGAAATTGGGCGGGAAGACACAAACCCAGAAAGTATCGGAAAACATGGGGAATCCTTGTATTTGTGTGTATTTATTTGTATGTCCTTGGGCCCCTTGAGCATAGTCAAACAGCGAGGCAGGCCGGCCTTGACGGCGCGTTGGGGCCATCTCCAGGCCCACGTGTGGGGGGGCGAAGAGGAGGAGGAGGAGGAGGAGGAGGAGGAGGAGAAGGAGGAGGAGGAGGAGGAGGAGGAGGAGGGGGAGGAGGAGGAACTTCAATTAATTCTCATTTTTTATAAAAGAAAATTATTTTAGGAAAAAAATGAATTAAATAGACTCTACCCCCCCCTGGCGTTATCCGTTCCCTTTTCGGGTATTTAAATCATATATGACTTTGACCACATGCCCATCCTACACATAAATTTACACTATCCCAGGGGGGCGGTATCGCCCCCCCTGAGGTTCCCTTGTAAAAACAATACGCAGGGACATTTTTTTGTTTTAACATAAGACTGTTTCGCGAATCCTTTTGCAAAAAAGCGGGACAAAGTGCACGCGCCCGCGTCGTCGCGCGCGCATGCCGAAATCCTTCAAAAACCCTCGATGTCGGAAGGATTTCGCAATCGAGTTTCCCAAAAAACATACAAAAACACAGGGGTTCGCAACACTGATTTGCTAAAAAGCTTATTCGCGAGCTCTTGCGGAATCTTAAGAACAAGCCGTCGGTTTTTCAAGATTTTCACAAAATGCTACCAAACGGGTTTCGCGCGCGCATGTCGAAATCTGTCGAACGCCCTTGCGCGTGTGCCGTCGCGAGAATCCTTTTGCAAAAAACGGGACGACGTGCAGACGCTCGCGTCGTCGCGCGCGTATGCCGAAATCCTTCAAAACCAATCGGTTTCGGAAGGATTTGAAAATCGTGTGTCCAGAAAACCTACAAAAACACAAGGTTTCGCAACACGGATTTTCAACAAAAGCGTGCGCGCGCGCTCTTGCGTCGTCGTCGTCGTCGTCGTCGTCGCCTACGTCGGTCGTCGTCGCCGTCCTCCCTCCTCCCGCGTCGTCGTCGTCGTCGCCTACGTCGTCCTCTGTCTTTCCTCGTGTTCGTCGTCGTCGTCGTCCTCTTTGGCGTCGTGGTCGTTTCCGTCGTCGTTGTCGCCGTGGTCGTCCTTCCTCCTCTTTCGTTGTCGTCGTCGTCCGTCGTCGGCGTCTCGTCGTCGTCCCTCCTATTTCGTCGCCGTCGTCGTCGTCGTCGTCGTCGTCGTTGTCGTTGTCGTCGTCGTCTTCCCTCCTCCCTCGTCGTTGTCGTCGTCGGCGTCGCCGTCCTTCATCCTTCTTCGTCGTTCGCGTCGTCGCCGTCCGCCCTTTTCCCTCGTCGTTGTCGTCGTTGTCATCGTTGTCGCCGTCGTCGTCCTCCCTCTTCCCTCGTCGTTGTCTTAGTTGGCGAAGTCGTCGCCGTCTTCGTCGTCGGCGCCGCCGTCGTCGTCGTCGTCGTCGTCGTCGGCGTCGCCGTCATTCATCCTTCTTCGTCGTTCGCGTCGTCGCCGTCCGCCCTCTTCCCTCGTCGTTGTCGTCGTTGTCATCGTTGTCGCCGTCGTCGTCCTCCCTCTTCCCTCGTCGTTGTCTTAGTTGGCGAAGTCGTCGCCGTCTTCGTCGTCGGCGCCGCCGTCGTCGTCGTCGTCGTCGTCGGCGGCGGCGGCGGCGGCGTCGTTGACGTCGTCGTCGTCGTCGTCGTCGTCGTCGGTGTCGTCGTTGTCGTCGTCGTCGGCGTCGTCATCGTCGTCGTTGTCATCGTCGTCGTCGTCGTCGGCGTCGTCGTCGTCGTCGTCGTCGGTGTCGTCGTTCTCGTCGTCGGCGTCGTTGTCGGCGTCGTTGAAGTCGTTGGAGACGTCGTCGGTGTCGTCGTTGTCGGCGTCGTCGTCGTCGTCGTTGTCGCTGTCGTCATCGGCGTCGCTGTCGCTGCGAAGTACCATTTGGTACCCACCGTCACGGTCTTAAGGGATTTTGCAAATCAAGTTGCGGGTGGGTGGGTGGGATGTTTGCGCGAGCAGTGGACTGGACAACTCACAGCGAACAGAAATTACTTTCCCCCTTAGGGAGCCCCCCAAAATCGCCTCTTGGGCCCATCTTGCAGCGCTCTTAGAGCGCTCTTCGGCGCTCTTGGGGCCGTCTTGGTGCTCTCTCGGGCCTCTCTTGGGGCCGTCTTGGGCCATCTTGGGGCCATCTTGAGGCCTCGGAAGACCACCGAACGCAAAAAGGCGAGAAGGCCAAATTCATTGATTTTCTTTCGGTTTCTGAAGGATGTTGGCCTCTTGGCGGCCTCCTGGGGAGCCTCCGTGGCCATCTTGAGCCGCCTTGGAGCTGTCATTGGGGCCTCTCGGGGCATCTTGGGAGCCATCTTGAGCCAGCTTGGACCATCTTCAACCATTTTGGAGGTCATCTTGGGCTCTCTGAGGCCGCTTGGGGGCCACTCGGGGGCCTCTTGGGGGCCTCTCGGGGGCCTCTCGGGGGCCTCTTGGAGGCCTCTTGGAGGCCTCTTGGGGCCTCTTGGGGCGCTCGTGGGACCCTCTTGGGGGCTTCGTGGGAGCCATGGAGGGCCTCTTGGAGCCATCTTGGAGGCGGTCGGTGAAAAGAGGGGGGGTACTCGATGTGCGTCCCCCATTCGGGGGCCACGGTCGTTGTGAGGGGTGACAGAAATTGGTCCTCCCACTGGCTGAAAAAGGAGCCGCCGACACTTCGCGACCCTTCAAAAAAAAAACAGGGAGGGGAGGGGGAGGGCCCCCCTCCCCGAGGGGAAGAGGGGTTGTGTAAGAGGAAAAAGGCCCTCCTTAGACCACCTATCGCCCAGAGAGCTGGTGGAATTACTTATTTTCGCGCGCCCCGTTGCGACCCGCTACAACATGACATCCTCGGCTTGAAATCGCTTTGTGCTTTGCGGCATTGCTTGACATTGCGTCAGTTTGCTTGGCATTCATTCGCATGGCTTGCCATTCCTTCGCGTTGCGCACTGGGGCACCTGAGCCACGAGCCGGGCAATGTGCGGGCCTACGAAGGCCTTGTGTCTGGGTCCTCTTCTTCTTCCTCCTCCTCCTCCTCCTCTCTTTCTGCCGCTCCACCACTCGTCCTCCCCCACATCCGCTTCCCTCCTCGCTCCCCGAGATTCCCTCCCTCCTAACCTTCGCCCTCCACCTGGCGTCTTTCGGGAGCCCCCAGAGGCCCAGGAAGGGCCAAGGATCTCCCGAACTTTCGAAAACTTCCGAAAACCACCGCAGTGAAGGGGCCAAATTTCCACGGCCACTAGGGATGGCGCGAACGACCAAGAGATACAAAGCCTCAAGGAGTCTTGTATATACATGTATGGCCCGTGCAGAGAAGATGTTCAGGGAAGGAGTGCTGTTGCGCCGGGCCCGCTCCGCACTGGCACGCAGGCCCGTGGGCCTAAACGGCCCAGACACAACCCTCAGAGGGCTTACGCCTGGGCAGGGCGCCCCCCTCGGGCGCAGCCCTCTGCAGGGCGCAGCCCTCTGCCGCTGGCCCCCCAGGCTGGCCATCTTGTGGACCCTCCCCGTTTCGCGGACTGCGTGTCCAGAGCGCGCAAGTTCGAGCGCTGCGGCCACCCGCTCCCCCCTCTTTGTCCTCCATCCTTGCCCTTCTTAGTGTAAGTCCTCTCCGTCGCAACACCAGACGAATCGGTCGGGCGGGGCGGGCGGTTCGCCTGACACTTTCTTTCACCATTTAATATCTTGCAGCTTGAAATGTGCAACAGTTTCACGGGTGGAGGGCGGGTGTTTTCAAGATGTGGATCTCGCGTTAGCGCCACCGCATATTCTTTTTCATGTTGGACCAGTTTCACGAATAGGGGGCGGGTCGTTTTCAAAATTTGGCTCTTGCTTTTGTGCCGCGCGCACGCCGCAGGAGTGCTTTCTCTTCCGGCTCCCGAAGCACAGGGACGCGGTGGTGGAGCTCGTCGAGAGCCCCGGGCGCTCGCCCTTGCTTGCCCGAGGGATTAGGTGGGAGGAGGAAGGGGAGGAGGAGGAGGAGGAGGAGGAGGAGGAGGAGGAGGAGGAGGAGGGGGTGGGAGGAGGAGTGAGGAGGAGCATACACGGCAGTTGTCTCTCGTTCTTCTCTTGTCTGCTTTCTTCATGGTTGCGAGGAGGACTTGATCAGGTGGGAGGCCACTTTGGATGAACGCTTGTCATGTCATCCCTTGCTGCGTCTGTTGCTGCGGGAGCGGGGGCGCGGACGACTGGCATCCGCCGCCCACTGACGCGTCGAGCTTTCGCTCCCGTGGCCTGCCCAAGGACAAAGGAGGAGTATGTGGAGGAGGAGCAGGTGGAGGTGGTTCAGGCAGAGGAGGGGGTGGAGGAGGAGGAGGAGGAGGAGGAGGAGATGGAGTAGGATGAAAGGGGATCAGGTAGAGGAGGAGGAGGGAGGAGGGAGGAGGGAGGAGGGAGGAGCAGCAGGATGATGAGGAGGAGGAGGAGGAAGAGGAGCAGGAG